CTGTGCTTCAAATAACTGAAGATGTAACCCTTCACAGTCTCAAGATGCAACTCTTTACAGCCCAGGATTGTGCTCTCAGGAAGAGAAAGAAGCCAGCCATAATACCCTTCAAGACTATGTCAAATGCTCTCCATGGTCAGTTTGCAGCCTAAAGGACACCAGGTATCTTTGTCACTAGATGTCAGTAACATGGCACCTCCTACAGAAAAGAAATGATGCCTCCCTTCTGACAGAGAAAATATGGAAGTAGGCAGTTAGGTAGCATCTTGTCAGATCAGAGACTGTCCCTGCAAGCCAATTTCACAGGAACAAGCACAGCTTTTGCAATAGGAAAAAACAGTAACTACAGCTCTGAGAGCATTCAGGCAACCATTGCCCAACAAGACATCACATGAGCCTGTATGCTGCTTAAAACCTGCAATACTTAAGACTTCCAAGCTGCAGAAGCCATCCAGACTCACCTACCTGGGAAAGTTCCAGGCTCAGATTTTGGCAGCCTGAGGCTAAAGCTTGACAGCAGCTTTGTCATACTACAGCCAGCAGAAAAGAGATCATGGAATCACACAGCTCATGGGGAGAAGACCAGATCAAAAGCAAGTCATTTCCTAGTGGGGAGAGAAATCAACTGCACTGGATGATAAACACAGGCTGCATTTCCTGCAACTTCACTGAGCACAAAAACCTAGCCCAGGGAAGAATGGAAGTCATCTAGAAGAGCCGTTAGATAAGAGCCCATTTTAAGCCTCAGAATAAGCACAGTTTAGCACAAGCAGCACCAGGTTTTGCCTCAGCAGGTTTTCCAGGGACAAAACTCGATGCTGCAAGCCATGACCTAGCTAATTCAGGTTTGGATCAGTAGCACAAATAATTTTACAAGTTCCTGCCCGATCCGACCACAAGACCTTTGCTCGGGCTGACCGAGCACAGCGGTGCAGGCCTTCCCTGGGCGTCCTGAGTCACACAGAGCTTGACTCTGTCCCCATCCTCATGCAATCCACCACCGCAGGGCTGCCACCCCTGCTATTCCAGACGGATCGCCAATTAACACAAGCAATTAAACTCCCTCATCCATTAGCAAAGTGCGGGCGGATGAGCCAGCTCCGGCGGGGCTGGGATCCCCCTCAGCAGCCAGGCAAAGCCCTCTCCTGCCAGGAGCAGCCCGGCTCCAGGGGCAACCGGCGGGG